GTGTTTCCACTTTATTAAATCTTTTATTATGTTTTCTTGATATCTTGAAGTAATATTTTGCAGTTCCCAGGCTTTTTAACCACCTACAGTAACCTCTGCATTCTTTCTCTAGTGATATTTAACCAAAATTTGCTGTCAAGACTTAGGTTACCCTTTGGGAGCAATAGGGGAACATAAGGAATACAAWGAAGTACTTAATTTCATTTTTTAGGGGCAGTGAAGCATGTGCAGACAGCATGAGGCCTCAGAAACACAAATCAGGCAGTGTTAAACAAGGAGTTAGCACCTCACCGAAGTGCAATTTCTGCTTATAATTTTTCTCTTATTCCTTTTTCCCTTATGAAACCTGGCAAAACAGAGCTGCTCTTGCAGTGAGGCTGAACTCAGCAGTCCAGGCCATTTTCATTCAATTACGGCTGGAGGAAGAGGCCTTCTCTTATTGTACGTATGAGAACAGCTGCAGAAACCCAAGGAGAGCTGGATGCCAATGTCCCCGCAGCGTGCAGGAGCTGTGCGAGCCTGGCAGACAGTGCTGATGCTTTCCCTACCCCAGCTGTAGAAAAAGAAGCACAGGGTTGCACAGGAGAGAAAGCAAAATAGTATTTAGCTCATTGGCAAGGTGAAGGTAGAGGGTTCTGGGAACTGTTTGTGCCTTTGGAACAAAGGAGTCGTTGCATAAAGGGCATAAACAGTGCAGAAAGCAGAGAGGGAAGCGGAGAGCATGMCAGGTAAGATCACAGCTCCATCTAGCCTGCCATCCTGCTTGCAATAGAAACAAATAGCAAGCTGGAAAGAGCAGCAAACGCAACAGCCATAAAATGACGCTGTCTTCTAGGCTCCAGTGAGCTGCAGCTTGTTCATCCCTTCTGCGGGGTGGGATAATCCTCAGCAGGTGGTGCAGGACCCTCCTCTCACTCAGGGAGCATTTGCTGCCTTTCCGTGAGGAGAACCATGTTCAGGAAAATGAGTATTTGCCCCATGCAGAGCAGGAGCACCAGGGTCCACAAGCTCATGGCAGCGAAACCCACCCCAGTGCTGCCAGTCAGGGTACAAGCAAAATATTCTGTGTGTTGTGACTGCATCGGATTTACACATGAGACTGAGTGCTTCTGCTGAGTGGTTCTGCAGCATGTGCTTAATGAGACCGATCAATCTAAAACAAGAAGAAAAGAATATCGCTAAGCAACAGGCATGTTTCTGAATGTCTTGTTATTCTGAGAGGCTGCCTGTGTGGTAAATGTGTTACATAATGAGAAAGAACTGTATASTGCAGAATATATTGTTAGGATCAGGTTTTATTTCTCTAGCTGGATGATAGTAACATTAATACAGTTTTATRGTTAGGTAATACAGAAGACAAGTTGGAAGTTGCTAAAAATGCAACAGAAGGCAAGCTTCATCAAGTATTTTGAGAGGAACAGTTCAGAAACTGAGGTTCAGATTGAGAAAAATGAAATAATCTGTCAAGAAGAGAAATGCAGAAGAAGGGCATGGGCTAAAGGTCTTTTATTGCAGAATCACTCAACAGAAGATGGCAAGGTGCAATCTGCAGCTCGAATTAAAAGACTCCAGAGAATTGTAGGGTAGTCACACTTGCAAGGTCATCCTACAAATCTACAGCGCAATATGGAATGACAGGCYGGGTGTTCTGAGCCGGGTGTTCTCCATTTCTGGAGAAAATGTAGGGAAAGAAGCAATTGCAGAGCTTGTACTGGCATTTTGAGGGTTCCTTTAGCAGGATGGAGAATTTGTTCATTCTGTTTATGGACTTCAGGAGAGACCAGAGAACTGCGCTAAAGAAAACCCAAAATTGTAAATTCTTTATCAAGAAAAAAGAATATTTAGCCAGCCAGTTAAGAATAATATCTGTATAGTTTGAAGTTTCCTGAGGAAGAGGAGGGCACTGTGATCTTTGGGATCAGGGTGCAGCCTCAGGAACGGTTCATAGGACCAGCGGCTCCAGGGCAGAGCGTCCCGAAGGCTGGCGGAGCTCCGAGCAACAGGCACTTGCTAGCAGGGAGGCAGCGGTGTGAGGCTTTCCAGGCTCCACACCTGGTCGGATGAAAGGGTCTTCAGAGCGAGGAGGCCTCGGCTGAGCTGGAGACTAGAGGAGAGAGTTGTGGCTTGGCGGTGCCCAGTCCCTGGGCTGCCCTGCTCCGACGGCGAAGCGGAGCTGAGAATCCCGGCAGTTCCTCGGAACAGGAGCCAGGATCTGGAGGCTTCCCGGGGCCACGTGGCCAGGTGGCCACTTCCATATTCCCTGTGGTGTGGCGGCTGCCGCGCTGCCGAGGCCAGGACATCTCCGGGCAGGAGATGGCCGCCATGCTGGGTTGCCTCGGAACCGCCTCAGGAGCGCCTGGCACAGGCCCCACTGAAAGGCCCTGCCGCTGTGGTGCTCCCTGCCGTCCTCAGCGTCGAGTCACCCCTGCCAAGTGCCCAGATCCTCAGGAACCATCAGGCTCTCATCTAGGACCTGGCTATCTGAAAATTTGCCACTAGCTTTCCCCTGAGGAGCCATTTCCAAGGTGCTCCCTCCCACCCCTAGCACGGATACAAAACTTTCGTGGCAAAACTCAGGGAAGACATTTCCCATTTCTGACCGAATGCAAATTTCCTTCTTGCCGTAGCCCCCCGGGGACTTTTGGTGCAGAGCTTTTTAAGCCGTGACTGCTCCACATGGGAGGTCTGAATAAGTAGCAGTGTAGATTCATTATTCTGCCTAATATTTGGGCCGAGCTGATAGGAATGAATATTGCGGGGCAGAAAGGAGATGAGTAGCAGGTAGTTTAAATGTCAATAAGCATTGTAGTGTGAATTCCTTTTCCTGGGGTAGTGTGTGTCCTGATTTATCTACAGCACAATGAGCATGGAAGAATCTCTGCTCAAGTTTGAACTGTGTGAATATTTCTTATTTAGCAAGTAATAATGAGGCTAAAGTGAATTGTAAGCCTGAAGTTCTGATATAGTTCTGATATTTTATTTCCACTTCAACTTTTTGAGAGAAAAAATTAAACTGCTTCAGCACTTTTTATCATTTTGCTTTGTTAAAAAAAAATCCTGCTTCTTTCAGCCTGGGTCTTCACATTTTTATTTAGTAACTGGTAAAGATTTTTTTTTAATAATATTGTGAAATAGGTATAGCATGTATGTGGTCATGTATATAAATGTATATATATGCATGATATTTTTCATATATATAGAAAAAATGGGTACTTACAAGAAGTGATGATAATCTACGTGAAGTCAACACCAAAATTTGGAGCTGTGATAACATAAGGCTCAGAAAAAATGCTAGGTGGTGTGAACAAAATACCTACCTTAAGTCCATTGGGAGTTAGATGTGAAAGGGCTTTAGGTGTCCTTTTATATTGAATTTCTGGGTTTTCCCTTACATAGACTGGGCTTGTCTCTGAAAGCAGAGGTCAAAGTCTATGGTATGAAATTGCTATATAACTAATAATAGTTTCCTATTCGTAGCCCAAAGGCAAAGATTTTTTTGGATTTTTTTTTTTTTTTTTTAATATTTGGCATTTAACTTTTCATTCAGAAAAACAAGCATAAGGAAAGCTGTGGAAAATAACTGAGCAGTAGAAAGTAACCATTTTAAATTATTTAGACTGTTATGTGCAACTATAACTTCTGGTATTTGGCAGCAGCCTTTATAATGCTGAATGCCACCTGCAGCACTCAGTTACACTCAATAAGACTTGAGGAGCCCCTGAACTCACAGCCACGTAGGTGGACCCTGGAGTCAGTAACCAAATTCCTGGAGTTTTCCGGGACTGCTGAATAGGGAAGGGAGGGAAGGTGGGAGAGATGGATGACTGATTGAGGTACCTTCTGCCCTGGAACTGGCAGATTCCTGATACCACTTCCAGAGGATGATACAGAGGATGATGCATGAAAAGAACACAGTAGGACAGAGTAATCAATGCAGAGTTCACTTCTGTCACTTGTATCATGCAGTGATTTTTGTGAGGATGCTGAGATAGATGATGAGGCATCTGGTCCCTGTGCTGCCCTTTCCTGGCAAGAGCACAAGAAAAACCCAAAACAAATGATACCATCCTGTCAAATTGTCATTTCTGTAAACTCTTGTGTCCTGCTTATTTTGTCTGGTATTGTGTATTTGACTGTTATTTCTGCTAGTAAGAATAGAGTTAGATAAACCTTGAATCCTGAAAAAAAAGTGTTTATGAAAATTTGTATTTAAATAGGTCTTCCTTTTCTTTGTTGTTTCAAGTCTAAAAGGCATCATGGCTCATGTAGTGCTCCACGTTAGCATTTAATCAATTCAAAGATTTTTCTGAGATCGCTTTCCATGCCATTTCTGAATAACTAAAGAGAACTTGGATAGGTAAATTTGCAAGGGATAGCTCTGGTTTCCTGTCTCAAATGGCCTTGATGATGATGTAGTCTAAATTTGTTCATTAGTCATAATTGTCACTTGATGTCTCCTTCTCTGTAGTCAAAATGATGCAGTGTATCCAAAGGGGATTACTGGTTAAAGACCACTTTAATGCATGATTCTTTCTTTTCAAACCTATTTTTTCTTTGTTTCTTTATCAAAATTTCCTCCATGGATGAAGACTTGTGCCGTCTGATCAGGAATCACTGAGAGATATACAGGTGACCTCACACTTCTACTGGAATAGGGTACAGAAAAAGGAAAAACACACACTTGTGTGTTTGCCTAGGACTGCTCACATGCAGGTTTATGTGTGAATGTGCTAATTCACAAATAGGCAAACTCTGAAAGAGAAGTCCCTCCAGGACTATGAAATATGAAGCCACATTTCTGGTTCTGGAGGACCTTTTCTCAAGCATCGTAGGGAATTAGGTAGGGAAATGATCATCCCATGGTTACTTTTGCCTTTCTATTCTGTTTTGGCTATTTCTCTTGTTTTGTTTCCACCACCAGTAACTCGACTATGCACATTCCCAGCCATTGCTTTGACATATACACTGCTCATGTACGTCTTTCTTTCTTTCTTTTTCAGTTACTGCAATGGTTGCATGTTAGATCCAGACTGTGGTCTCTGCTACAAACTGAATAAATCAAGYGTTGTTGAGTCCTCCTGCATTCCTGTTGATAAAGACTCTACAGTGAAAGCAGCTTGGGGCAGGTATGGCACTTCTCAGCATTTTCTGGTCTTAAGCTTTGCAGCTTATTTTATGCTGTTGAGAATACTTTTGCATTTACATAAAATGGTACTTCTAAGATAGCAGGGGGAAAAATTATTATTGGAAAAAATGGAAAATTAAATTCTAACAAACTTTGCAAATAAAAGCCTCTCCTGGAGTATGCTCACGTTTCTGTATAGTTCACCAATTGGAATGTATAGCAAAAGCACACAACCAATTAGGAAAGTAATCTTTTCCCTGATACATTTATTCATTGAAGGTGGCATGTTCCCTAGATGTATACTTAAAACCCTCCCAATTAATTTTCTTTTGAAATGTTTTAATTAAAGCACGTCTTTTGAATATTGGCCTGTTAGAAAGCCAATTGCTCACTGAAGAATCTAAAATGAAAAAGAATGGAAAGGTTTAAAAACCAGAAGCCCAGTTTGCAGCTACAGATTTGTGTGTTCCCCTGCTTAAAAGTAGCATCGTGGTATATCCTTTGCATGTGGGGTGTTAAGACGTATGCATTCATAGRCAGAAAGGTCACAGAATAACTCCAAAATATATCATGCCTATTTCTTAGGGAGCGTTAACATTTCTACACCACTTGTACCCCGTGAACTATTTGGGCATCATTTAAAGGACTGGGAGATTTGGTGGGGAGTGAGGTTTATTATTCAGAAGTTGAAGCACAGCACTCGAGTGCTGGGGAGTCATGTGGGATAGAGTATGGAAATACCAGCTAATTACAAAATTGTTAACATAAAGTGGTGCTAAAATCGTCTCCCTTTTGATTTCAGTGCTAACAAAATGGCCTGCCTAGATCTGTAGCTCTTTGCAGATGCAGAATAGGATAGGATAGTTCCTTTGTAACCTGATTTGGAAAGTACTGCGATAATCTGGAGACTGTTGGTGACAAAATCTTGTCCCTTCTGACTGCTCTGTGACTGTCTTTCACCGCACGTTATCCCCTGCGCTCACCTTGCACATTAGCCAATGCTCTGATGTGCTCTGCAGCACTTGGAGTCTCAGTACTCCTATTTCTCAGATACCAGATCTGTCTCTGTATTATAAATCTGTGTTTGTTTCATGCACGCCGCTGTTTTAAGTACCATTTCTGTGGTCAGGATAATCCTAATAGCCTGCAGTAAGGCATAAATGGAATCATAAGCTTGTTATGGGTGATTGATAGATGAATCAAAGTGTATTCATTAGGCAGTTTTCTTGTGTAACATGTAGTAAACGTGGGCATCAGTAATCCTTTTATATTTATGATTCATTCGTAATAGCASTCCCTGCTGAACAGCCTATTGGAGCAAATTAGGTAGAAAAGAAGATATTTTTTTCCATTCCATATGGTGCCATACAGTATTTCTATACTATACAATAATTCCATGGTATAAAATGGAATCTTTCACCAGACAATGAAACATCTTCAATTTGTTTTATAGGTTATTGTTACAGTGAAAATCCTAACACAAAAAAGGAAGACCAATGGAACAGCTGCATTTCTTTTTCCAAAGGTTTATCTCCAGTCCTAGTATTTACTTCATTAATTGCTAATCTTGTCTCCAGCTCATCTCTGTAATCAGGAAGTGATCTCTGGCATCTGGGAGACATCCCTGTAGATTTTGACTTTGGAGCTAAGCAGGGCTCATATCCCCATCCTCCCCAGCTCGGGTTCCTCAAAGTGTGAGTTCACTTTACAGCAAAAACAGAGCCGCAGGCTTTCCTCTCTGACCACAGGGATTGCCACAGGGAAAATTGCATGATTACATTTCCAGCTGTTGCTCAGAGCCGTCGGAATCACTCCTACCTCTCTGCCAGCGCAGTGGCGATGAGTACCTCAGACAAACTAAGACACCATTGAAGAGATTATATTCGTACCGATGCTTCAAGTTGTATCCCTTCATTTCTCAAAGTTACTTTGCCATGTGCTGGATTTAGTGGCAATTATTTAAAAAATACATAGCATTTTTGCAACGGGAAAGTGGTTTAATAATTTGAAAGGTGCCTGAGACCCGTGAGCATCTAGTAACTGTATAGTTCCCACCTGCCACCTCGTTGCCGGGTGTTCCCGTGGTTTGGTGCTGTCTAGGGTTCACTGAACGGGCCTAAAGCCTCCCCAATTACTGTGGCCTGATCTGTCCCTACTCTTCTGCCAAAAGCTTTCTCAGGAGGAGGAGACTCGGGCTGTTCTCTGGGGGTTTGTCAGCCCTCAGTTTGCCCAGGCAGTGGCAATAGCAGCAGCTTCCTTGTCTTCCCCGATACCAGAGATTCAGAGAAAGGGACTTCTGCTGTGCTCAGATAGACTGCGCAGTGCAGGGCATCCCCCTGCCTCCGTGTTTGGGGTTGGGCTGTGGTTTTGCTGCAGGGAGGCTGGGGCTGCAGCCACAACGGGGAGCCTCCTGTCCCCCTGCACGCGTGCCCTGCATGTGCAGCCCCATAG